ATTTATTGAAAAGATCAACTGCTGGGGAAACAGAAAGGGCATGACATATCTGTGCTGTGTGGGAGGAGGCTGGGTGCGGGGTGTGGAACGTGACAATCACAGATTTGCGTATGTCCTGTTATCATATTCAGCCTTCCTGTCTGGAGTGCTGCACAATGAGTGCTGCACTTCAGGCTGGCTAAAATGCATGGTGATGGGGGTTGAGTGCAGTGGGTAAGGGTCGTAGTTTGCAGGGCTGGGTGGTGAAGCTACAGGTGTTGGAGGCAGCTGGTGGCAGTATGAAACTGGATGTTGGGGGAAGTGGGTTGGCAGTGACAGGGGGCACAAGGGAAAGAGTTTTGGGACAAGGGCTGCAGGGGGTGGAATGGGCATCTGCTCCATCTGCAGTGCTATGAGCGCCTGTATCGAGTCCGCTTGGCGCTCCATAATGCTTATGAGCCGCTCCGTGCTTTGGTGCCGGCGATCCGCATTCTGCTGGCAGAGCCTCCTTTCAGTCTCCCGCCACTCCTGTACTTTTTGATTTTCAGTAAGGGACTGCTGTATGACTTCATGCAGCAGGTCCTCTTTGGTTCTTCGCGGACACTTCCTGATTCTTTGCAGCCTTTCGGCCGTTGATAACAAGGACGGCTGGGATTTCAAGGTTGCATCTGTAAAGCCAAAATGCAACACTTAACAGAGGCAGCATTGTTCACACTAGACAGAGCAATGATTCGGCTGTACTTAAAGACAAGCACAGTCTACACAATAGCAGAGGGTGCCGGTCCCAAAACGAGCACACATAACCCACAGGAGCCCCAAAATGGTGAGTAAACACAGGGGCAAGGAGGACTGATTGTTTCAGGGCCGTACTAACCTCTGGGATTCTGTGCCTTGGGAAGAGCAACAGCTGCAGGGGGCCCCTATTCTGAATACTGTCCCCACAGTTTCCACAGGATGAGTTCGTCCTGGAAGATATCTTGCATCTGAGGGTGACCTGGGAAGCAAGGGAGGGTCTTCTACTACAATGCAGCTTCCGCCCTGGCCCATATGCGGCTTGCCTGTGTGCAGCAATGGTCACGGCACAGTGGTGCGGACATGTTAGCCTGACTGGGACAAGGAGCACAGTAGCTCTGCCAAGGAACCTGCGCAAGCAGATTTCCCAGCTTCTGCATGAGACCGTCGATGAGATCACTGAGGCCAATTACTGCGATGTGAGAGAGCACATCAATGCCCTATTCCGCATCTAGGCATGAATGCAGCCCTAACCTTTCTTTCTGCAACCCTCCTTGCCCCAACAGCCTGCACAGAACAACTCCCTTCCCAAAATAAAAGCCGCTTACTGGGCACCTCCTCTGCTGTTTGTTCTTCCCAAAGCACCGTCCGCTGCGACTGGCTACCTTCCTCCTGGCTTGAAAACAGCTCCTGGGTGCATGCGTCTAGGGATGCCGGGCTGTCCTCTGGCTCTGGGCCCCCCTCCTCCTCAGCACCCTCGCTCCCACTTTCCTCCTCCTGCCTTGTTGCACTCTGGGCTGCCTCGGCCTCTGAAGTGTCCATGGTGCTCTTCGGAGTGGAGGTGGGGTCGCCCCCAAGTATTGTGTCCAGCTCTTTGTAGAAATGGCAGGTCGTGGGGGCAGCACCGGAGCAGCGGTTTGCCTCCCGTGCTTTGTGGTAGGCATTCCGCAGCTCCTTCACTTTAACCCTGCACTGCTGTGCGTCCCGGTCATGGCCCCTTTCCATCATGTCCCTTGATATCTGCCCGAAGGTATCGTAATTCCTACGGCTGGAGCGCAGCTGAGACTGGACAGCTTCCTCCCCCCAAACACTGATGAGGTCCAGCATCTTGCCATTGCTCCACACTGGGGATTGCCTGGTGCGTGGAGGCATGGTCACCTGGAAAGATGCGCTGAGAGCACTCCACGCCTGGCTGAGCAAACAGGAAGGGGAATTTCAAAATTCCCAGAGAATTTAAAGGGCGGGTCTGACAGTTGGTCACTTGAGGGCAGGGCAGTAGAGTTCAAAGTGATGACCAGAGTGGCTAGAACAGGCATTGTGGGACACGTCTGGAGGCCGATCAGAGCGCATTAATAGACCAGGGCGTCCACACTGGCACCACAGTGCTCCAGCCAGGGTGCACCAAGTGTTATGCCTCTCGTGGAGGTGGATTACCAGGGGCGCTCCAGCCACGGAGTCCGGGTGCTCTACATGCCGTGCCAGTGTGGACACCTCAGGAGTTAGAGTGCCTGGGGCTGACTTAATGCGCTCTAACTTGTAAGTGTAGACAAGGCCTAAGAGTGACCATATGGGCAGTTATACCAGTATAATTAGGCTCCTGGTAAACTTCTTGCTGTAGAAAAGCCCTGAGTGGCCGATCAGTTTCCTGTTTCATTTGATTATAGGCAGAGGGGGTAGCAATACATATAGCAAAGGTTACCCCACACATGGTAAGACCCTATTTTAGTTGCTTATCACTTTGTCAAACTAATTGTTGGGGTTGAAATTATACCTCTACCCTGATATAACACGAATTCGGATATAACACGGTAAAGCAGTGCTCCGGCGGGGCGGGGCTGCGCACTCCGGCAGATCAAGGCAAGTTCAATATAACGCGGTACGATTTTTTTGCTCCCGAGGACAGCGTTATATCGGGGTAGAGGTGTACCTAGGGCAGGTATCTGTTTTAGGCTGATTTTTTACGTTTCAGTTAAAATTGTTAAGCTGTTTATGAGAACAAGATTAGGGAAAAATACATTGTTTTGCCCACGTTAAAAGAAGTAACTGGAGTTCAAGATGCGTTAGCCTCAGACCCTTGAACAAGTGTAGAGCTTTGTTTATTGCGGTCTACAAGCCTCTCTTATGAAATTCAAAGGAGCCAGTCATCCAGGAAGGGAAAGACTGACTGACTCCCAGCTGTCTCAGGTAGGATGCCATCACTGAGAGCGCCTTCATGAACACTGGGGTGTGTGCATGTGTGTGTGTCAGTGTCAACAGGCCAAATGGGAGCACTCTGTATGGATAGTGTTCTTGGCTGATCCAGTCACCTCTTACCTTCTCCTTGATAGGCACTTCAGTCTATTTACTTTAAGGCAGGTTTTCCAGACCTTTAATCATTCTTGTACCTCTTTTCTGAGCTCCCTCCAATTGTTCAAAACACTCTTTGAAGTGTGATCAAAACTGGACACAATAGGCCAGGAGAGTGCTCATCAGTACCATAGAGAAATAATATCACTTTTGTTCTCACACGCGCTATGCAGCTGTTCATACAGCCAAGGATTGCATTAGACAAGAGCTCATGTATGCGTACGCAAATATTTGTTTTCCTAAATTGATAGAGACAAATTTACTACTTGCCCTGAAAACCCTGGACTTACTCATGTCCAGGTAACTTTCCACATTTAGTCTGTAGTTTAGTTATCGTTGGAAATGGTTTAACTGCCAGGAGAAGGTAAAAGTTTTAAATCTCTGATGGAACATCAAGCTTGATGGAAATACTTGCATATAAAGTCTCTCTGATGATGTCATTTTTCATAATTTGATTTCAGGGACCCTATCAGATTCCTATGAAAATTATTTTCCCCTCTGTTGAAAAATACATTAAAAAGCATTTCTTAAAATAAAATTTAAAAGTAAGTTTATTGCCCCCTAAAGAACTCTCAAATTTGGAGACTATAAATTTAATAAAATCGTAGAACAAATTTTGTCTCACAAATGTAAATTTCAATGCAGTCTAACACTGGCAGCAACTCCAACACACCTATAATATAGATAAAGTAAACAATTTTTAGCATGTAACATGTTCAAGTTACAGGAGAAATAGCAATCGTTATTTGGATACTTGTGCCTATCTGTGAGGTACAATATGTGTTTCACTGATTTCATGCCACACAAGGCCTCCATCTGATATACATCTGGTGTTAACTCATTGTTTTATTATTGCAAACAGAACAATTAGTGAAAAGTAAGAGATTTTAGATCCCTCTTAACAAATACACAAATCTTTAGCTGTTCTGCACTTTAATTGCACTGTATTTTTTCAGCTGGTAGGGGAATGGTTGTTTTAAAGGAGTGAAATGTAAGTGTGGAGGAAGGGTAAAGGAGGAACAGGTCTGGGTATTTTTCTGCAGGAAGGCCACCAACAAGAACATTTCTTCAGCCCATCCAGATTTATTTAAGATAAGAGCTACACTATGTTGATTACATTTGTTTTGATCTATGTGATGCAAAATTGCTCCTCCGTTTGCCACAAAGCTGAGGTTGGGTGAAGCTGGAGGGGAAAAAAAACCCAGACACTTTGATTTTGAAATAAAGACGGGTCTGAATGTTCTACTGAGAGGGTTTGGTTGGCTCTCTGAGAAGTTCAAGGTACTCACCACTGTCGCCGTCCCATACAAATAACTCAAGGCTGCTTTTTACGTCAAGTATGATGAAAGCTCCCCGGTTCTGTCCTGATCAGAATATTCCAAGACACAAGATACATTAAAGCAACATGGGAGTTTAAAACGCCTAACCCAGGGATTGACACCTAAAAAGCATGCGTGTGCTGGAGTGTGTACACCTCCTAGGCCTGTCTTTTAATTTATGGTAAGAGATGGTTAATGACAGCAAGCAATGTCTTGGTGCTACAAGACATTGTGTATAGAAGAGAGAAACGTTCTAAAACACATACGAGTACTTGAAATATATCTACACTTTTATTACAAAACCAGGTTGTTGGCATTAGTTGGGTACAATAATAGCACAATTGTGTTGCTGCTGCAGAGCTGTTCTGGCCTATGGCAACAATTGCATTTCCCGCTTAAAGCAACTAAAATTAAGTTGCTTTATAACCATTACATACAAGTTATCTGCAATGAATCTTATAAATTCTGCATTAGGAAGGGGGGAGGGCGTGGAGTGGATTAGGCTAGAGTGTGAGAAATTTATTCAGTGCCTTAAAAATAGCAAACCGAGCATTATGTATTTCCTATTAAGAAATAAGTCCTTTATTTGGCATACTTCTAAAATGAATTTAAGACTTAATTACTTGATCTACCGATAGCTATTGTCAGTAGCAGTAGTAACCAAAGGGGACTGTGTTATACTGAACTCTTCGCACTCAGTTCTTGTTAAAAGCAACACCTGTGCAGTGCACATATAGTTACATCACACTCAGGCAGAGGGGAACAGTACATCTAAGTTTATACTGGCTTGTCCCCCCCTACTTGGAGTTCCTTTATAAGTATCTTAGAGCTTGACACCATCTTCTGCCACTTGCAGTTATTGCTGCTGATCTGTCGGCAAGTCTGGTTCAGTGCCTGTGCTGTGCTTGTTCTGAAGGGACCTTCCAATATACTTCCAATATTCCTTTCTGATCGTGTCTTTTTCGTTAGCCAGAATGTCACATAACTAAGAAGGAAAAGTTACAAAGTTGTAATATAATCAATCAAAAGCTTAACAACCCTTAAAAACAAACACACATTAAGCACGGCCTTCTCTTCAGCGAGCAACGCATGGCTTTTCAGCCACAAGTTTTGCACTAGTATCCATAGACATCTGATAAATGCATCTTCCTAAAAGGAAATCAATGATCTCTATAGTTGATGCCAACAGGGCCGGATTAACTCTCCTGTGGGCCTGGGGCTATTAGATTTTGTGGGGCGCCTGGGGGGCTCGGAGTACGGGAGGGGGCTCAGGGCTGGGTATGGGGATTGGGGTGCAGCTCTAGCTGGGGGGACAGGAGGTTGGGGTGCGGCAGGAGGTTCGGGGTGCAGGCTCTGGGTGGGAATTTGGGTGCAGGAGGGGGCTCCGGGCTGGGACAGAGTTTGGGTGCAGGAGGGGGCTCTGGGCTGGGACAGGGGGTGCAGGCTCCAGCCCAGAGGCGCTTATCTCAGGAGGCTCCTGGTCCGCAGCGCAGCGGAGCGAAGGCAGGATCCCTGCCTGCCCTGGCTCTGTGCTGCTCTGCTCCCCGAGGTGGCCGGCATGTCCAGCCCCTAGGTGGAGGGGCCAGGCCGCTCTGCGCAGTGCACATTGCACATGCCTGCAGGTGCCGCCCCTGCAGCTCCCAGCCAATGGGAGCTGCGGAGCTGGCGCTGGGGGCAGCACAAAGATTCCCTGAATGCTGCTTGCCTAGAAGTTTGTCTCCTGTGACTCTCCAGTTCTAGGCTAACTCTAATAGCTTTCTTTGCACCCTGCTATCTTCCCCTCACCACCTTACAGGACATTTGGATATTTTGCTCCATCCCCTGGGTATAAATATTGCCCTTCAAATGTTCCATTCAGTTCTTTTTGTTAAGCAGAACACTGCGCCTTGTTTGATGAGCCAGAGCTCATCTTAGTACCACCAACTTTAGGCCCCCAACATATTGAAGAGCCAATGCTGAGCAGAACAGTGCTGACACTTAAGGGGCATGAAATTTTAAGGCGTCAAGGCAAATTTTGGTGCTGGTGGACTGTGAAGGATGAATGGTATAAATCCATGGTATGCCACATCTTGAATACTACGTGCAGATCTGGTTGCCCCATCTCAAAAAAGATACATTAGAATTGGAAAAGGGTTAGAAAAAGGCAACAAAAATTATTAGGGGTATGGAACGGCTTCCATATGAGAAGAGATTAATAAGACTGGGACTTTTCAGCTTGGGAAAGAGACGACTAAGGGGGGATATGATAGAGGTCTATAAAAATCATGACTGGTGTGGGGAAAGTAAATAAGGAAGTGTTATTTACTCCTTCTCATAACACAAGAACAAGAGGTCACCAAATGAAAATAGGCAGCAAGTTTAAAAACAAAAGGAAGTATTTCTTCACACAATGCACAGTCAACCCGTGGAACTCTTTGCCAGAGGATGTTGTGAAGGCCGAGACTATAACGGTTCAAAAAAGAACCATGCAGGACAGGTCCATCAATCTACCTCATGCTAAATTCCATTACTGTTACCCTCAGAGGTTTAAAAAAAGCTCTTTAAGAGCCATATTGAGTTCTGCTCTGCCAGTCTTGTGGACCAGGAAGCTAAGGGATTCTCCCTATACATATATCAGTTATTTTGAGGATAAGAGCCCTCCGCTAAACTAGGTAGAGGGAAGTAAGAGCATGTTAGGAACTTACACAAAGGTTTTAAAAAAAAAAAAACTGCTCTTTCAGCAATTTGAAAGCTCATTTATTTTCTTTACATGCAAGAAAAGGAGGAAATGCCAATAAGTAATGTTTGGGATCTTTCTGCTTTTCACTTCTGTCGGTGAAGCAGAGGTGGCCTCTGTTGCTGGCAAGCTACTATGAAAATTCTTGCATGTAGACTGGTTGACAGTCAGAGGCCGAGGATTCATATACTGTATGATTATTAAGAACAGGACATTGCTAATGGAAGTCAAATGCCTTCTGAGTGCAGGGAAAAAACTCACCAACATCCCTGAACTTTTGAGTGGCTAAGAGGATTTCTCTTCAGCATAGTGAGAAGTAGTAGATGGATACTGCACAGTAACAATTTATTAACCACGGTGCACAGTAACAGTAATGGAAACAACTACTTAATGCTGTCATCATCTCCTAATAACTGTGCAATTAATGTACAACTCTATTTTACAAGAGAGCTTTTCCATTAAAATAACCCAGTCTTTGTCTAGCTGAAGCTATTGCCACACAAAGCAAACTCCCTGAGGTAGAAAAAGTGAGCTCTCACAACTCACCTCTAATGCTCTGTTTAGTGTTTCTTCCTTGTTGTCACATTGGTTTTCTAGCATGTCTTCATATATATCCACAAGGAAGGCAATCAGATAGGGAGAACTGTGGCTTGGCTGTAAATCCAGCAGTTGCTCTAATAGATTTTGATATTTGGAAAGACCATGATCCTGCAGAATCCTAAAACAGAGATTAGTAAGTACTGCTGGCAGCTTTGACAAAGAATTAAGCAAGTTTTGGCTTTGATAGATGTATCTGAAGATTTTAATCTAATAGGAGCTATAAATATAAAAGAGGCAGAGGGTAATAGATGTAGTTCAATATAGCAACAAGTCAGCATTGCTGTAGCAGTGGTTTTCAACCTTTTTTCATTTGCGGACCCCTGAAATATTTCAAATGGAGGTGCAGACCCCTTTGGAAATCTTAGACAGTCTGCAGACCCCCAGGGCCCACAGGTTGAAAACCACTGCTGCAGTAAGCTATTGATGAACATCTCAAGTGCACAGGGAGACATGAGGCAGGGTGCCTTTAATCAACAACCTCCTAGCGCATAGCTGGTGTAGCCTAATACTATTATTTTGCCCCCTTCCTCCCCCTTTTTAAAGTCAACTTTTGGTGGTTTTATGCCACATATCCTTCCATTATTAAGTATGGCTCACAGAGAGTTGAGCAGGATAAAGCAAAAAGGTTATAAACTGCTTTCCTCTACTACTATGAACATATTTTAAGTTGTTGGGACTCTGAAGTCCCATCTCCTTCCTATCGCCAGCCCCATCTGAGAAACTGAATTCAGTGTCAGCACAGCTAGGAAGGAGAGGTGGAAAGCATGTGTGTGATGATAGGAGCAGGGTGGCACTATGTAATGCAGAACTCTAACCCTTCGAGGTCAGGGGAAAGTCAGCTTCTCTTTACAGCATCTTTAACAGGGATTCTGGAGACACCGTCAGTATGCTCTAATAAAAAGAATCAGAAAGCTGACTATGCCACCCACCTCATTCAGATGAGGCCCAAAAAGAGACACGCTTGACTCCAGTCAACCAACTAGCTATGAGCTATCATTTCTCTTTCCAAGATTTTTCATTTCTTTACAAAGCACCATCTTCTGCAGAGGGGCTAGCACACTGTTGGCACTCCATGAATAAAGTCAGTTATATGGTATTTTAAGACTTATTTTTTGAGCTAGTAAATAGAAACAACCTGCTGCACACTTTCACATGTGAAAAGTATTGACGATCCCCCTGCCAAAGCTACCCAATCAGTAATTATGCGGAAAGTGGGCCAGGAGATTAGGTTACTATATTAGCCCTTTATGTGGGTATAACCTCAGGCTCATCTAGATCACTGCTTTCCAGTTGTTCCCCCAGAGCTGTTCACACGTCTAGGCATGAAACATTCAAAGTGAAATGGCCTGCAAGTAACACCAACCTGCAACAAGCCCCCTGATCAGAAGCCCTCACCCCACAGATATGAAATACAAGCCTCACCCTTTTAGATAGTTCCATGCACTCTCATTATGTGGCACTGTCTTGATCATTTCTAGAGTGTACCTGTGAGGGAAAACACGGGTTACACTTCCGTCAGAGGTCAAGGAGCCAAAAAGAGAAACATGTTTTCTTTACCCAGACTCAGATCTCCTTTGCAGCCTCCTCCCTATCTCACTGTTCTCAACCCTCCTCTGCACAGGCTTTTTAAAATACACCTCTACCCGGATATAAGGCTGTCCTCGGGAGCCAAAAAAATCTTACCGCGTTATAGGTGAAACCGTGTTATATCGAACTTGCTTTTGATCCGCCGGAGTGCGCAGCCCCGCCCCCCCGGAGTGCTGCTTTACCGCGTTATATTCGAATTCGTGTTATATCGGGGTAGAGGTGTACAGACTAAAGCAGACATTTTTCTGCTCATCTGAGGTGGTGGCATAAAACACAACTGCCAGGCAACTTAACTGCAGTTGTTATGACAGGGCAAGCCACTGCAGGATAGCGGTTATGTGCCCGGAGGCACTTGTCTTCAATTTACAATATATGAATTCCTACAAGTATTTTGTAGGAGTTTATTTCAGGAGAGGCTAACTCCCACACAGTACGACATAAGAAGCCTATAACATAATACACAATTTGATGGTACGTGGAAGAGAGGTTACATTTACTCTCCAAGTGCTCTATAACGATCGGCTCTGAAGGCAGAAGGAAGGAAAAAGTTCCAGCACTAAGAGCATGGAGTTACTCAGTTTTGGCATGTGCACATGCTAGGACTGCAGAATCCACAGATGCTGGATTCCATTTCTTTGTGTGCATCCACAGCACTGTTTGCAAAACTCCACTTACAAGGCCAATCAGTTGCACCTGTGCAAACTCACTGGAGGCATATAGCACTGGTGCCAATGAGGACATGGGCTGTTCCTTCCTAGCTCAGACTAGTGGCAGAGTTAAAGTGAAGAGAAGGAGCACAGAGGCAGCTTCTCCAAGCGCACAGTCAGGAGGGTCACCCACCAAGCAGAGTATTAAAGAAAATGTTATGTCTCTACCAAAAAAAAAAAAAAAGCCTTCACATTCCTCTCTCTCCACTACATCCCCAAGCAGTGAGACTCGTTTCCAGAAACGGGTGATAGCAGCAAGCAGTTTGCAGCCAGTTTTCAATCTCAAAATATTTGAGCCGCCTTGCCCTTCTGGAGCAGCCTTTTTACAGTCACTAGCAGAGGAACAGAGCTTACCGCTGCCATTAGAGATCTTGGCAACAGCAGGTAGGCTAAGGTCTATGCTGAAATCTAGAAAGATTAACCCTTCAAGTCTGGTTCTGGAGTAGGAGTCAGGTTAAACCTATCTCAATTTGAGTTCTGAACACAGGGTCATTCTTCACAAATAGATCTAGGAAGGTGTCCAATCCCTAGCTCTGGAGAATTAATCTGGAAATGCCTAGTCTCACAAGTCATAGAAGTGGTACAGATTCCGTAACATTCAAGGAAGAACTATAGGAGGAAACAAAAATGAATGGGGTTTTCTTATTGCTTTCATTTAAAGTCTTTCAACCCTCTTGATGACCGCCCAATTGGACTGCCTCAAGGGCTTATGCTGTGCTCTGAAGAGGCATTGGGTCGTTCCACACAGAGTGAACGGATTGAAATCAAAATGATTTCTATCACCAATGTTAATTATGAATTAAATCAGAAAGAAGGAAACCTTAATTTTAATCTTGTTTTGCATTTGTATTTTTTACTTATTTTCCTAAAGAGGGGTTGATTCTCATTGGTTGGTAACCATTACAAAATATTGGATTTGCAACTAACTATAGTCTTTGCACTAAATTTGGTATTTATTTTTGTTAACCAGGAGACTACACTATTATATAACTTAACATACATTTACCCATATGGTAAATTTTTATTTTTTTATGTTAGAAAATGGTGAATGACTAACTTCTTATTTACTAAACTAATTTTTTTTACTCATGATGTGTGTCAAGCTCTATTTGGACGGCAATAGGAATTCTTTTAAAATTGTTTTCCCACTAATTAAATATACCGTATATACTCGTTCTTAAGCTGAATTTTTTTAGTAAAAAAGGGAAGCACCAGAGAAGGGGGTGGGCTTATGAACGGGTATAGAGAGGGAGAGGTGGGACGCAGCCCCTCCCCCCAACAGAGGGAGCAAGGAGAGGCAGCACAGCCAGCAGAGCAGAAGGGAAGAGGCGGGGCCAGAGTCTCTCCGCTTTAGCCACGCTGCTCTCCCCCCAGCCTCCGAAGCAGCGGCAGCCATGCCGCTTGGCCCCGCCCCCCAGAGCAGGCTGTGGCCGAGCTGCCCGGCCCGCTGGAGCACGCTGTGGCCGTGCCACCCAGCCCAGCCCGCTGGAACTTGCTGCGGTGGTGCCGCCCAGTCTGGCCCGCCGGAGCAAGCTGTGGCCGCGCTGCCCAGCCTGCCGGTGACATCCTCCCCTAGCCCTCCCCAGATAAGGTGGGAAGGGATAGATGGGGAGAGTGTGGGGGTCCCGGGCTAGGCGTGGTCACAGGGGTTACTCCCCTGACTCCCAGCTTCTCCCCTCCCCAAAAATTTCCCCACCAGTTGCTGTCCCGGCCCGTCAGGGTAAGCAGCTGGCACGCCGGGACACTTTGTTTACTTAGGGTTTACTTCCGTGCTTGCGGACGCTCGAGGTAAACAAACCATCTCGGCCCTCCAGTGGCTTATTCTGATGGCCCAGGAGCCAAAGTTTGCTGACTCCTGAATTATAGGGCTGGCTTATGAACGGGTTATAAAAATTTTCCATTTTTACTTATCCGTCTTGGGGGGGGAGGGGTCGGCTTAAGTATATAGGGTAATTACCTTAAATGTGCTAGACACATAATAAAACAGTAAGTTTATCAAAACTTGTTTTGCATTTAAAAATGAACTGATTTATTAACCAAAGGAAGTATTATCTGTAGTTAGTCAATCAAACTGATTGTTTCTAGTCACTGTGTCCTTCAAGATTTTAAGAACTAGTACATCTCCTCCTCTCACCCCTAGTTTTTATTCATAGATTGGAAGAGCTTTCCTGCTTTTTCAACGCCCAGTCACTTTTCCAAATGAGCTAGTCATTGAGCTGAACTAGTTGAACAAACTGAAAAGAAAATATTCTCCGTGCACTTGCAGAAGTAGCTATTTCTACCAAAGGCTGCTTTAGGACTCAAACGCTGGTTCCAGGTGCTCAGTCAGCAACTTCTCTCAGTTCAGTGGTCTGACTTTCTTTAAAACTTCAGCAGCAAACATATTCTACTTGAATTTTTTGTTTAATTGATGTAATTGATTTTAAGAGATTATACTAAGTCTAGCCCTTAATGTAGGATGTCAATTTCAAATATTTTTTTTCTTTTAAAAAATAAACCAATCTGTTTTTTGTTTTTTTAAAACATCCAGGTTTTATCCCAAATATTTCCTTATTGCAATGTGCTTAGTTTAGGCAGAAACAACATTTTTTTTATAATTGTTAGCCCCGTCTTCTCCCTTGGGATCTGAAAGTCAAGCTGGTGCTTTCCTTCTTGCACCATCTTCAGTAATAGACACTTCTGAAAACCAAAGCAGGACCTCAGTTACACCAGTGCTATTTCTGAAGAGATTCCAAAGTTGAGGGGCCCTCATATCCAGAAACTCACTGGTTTATACAGGGGGCTCCAGGCAAGCATCCGTGCTGATCATACTCATGGCAGTACTGCATGGGGAGAGATACGCTTTCTCAAGGAGATGGGGCCCTAGGTAATAATGCGCTTTATAGGTTAGTACCAATACCTTAAATTCTACCCAGAAATCAATAAGCAGCCAGCACAGATCATGGAGCACTGCCATAATATGCTCACAGCACAGGATATTTAGCTTAAACTAGCAGGCTGCCAAATATTGCACCAACTTCTGTTTCCAGATGGGTTCAATACATAGTTCCATATAAACTGCACAGCAGTAATGTAACCTGGAGGTGACAAAGGCATGGAAAGCAGTAGTAAGGTCTGCATCAAGAAACAGGTGCTACCCATTGGACCCCCACAAAAGCCATCCTGGCTATTGCTGATCTCTGATCAGCCAGTGGCATCTGAGAATCTAACAAGTCCCTTAGGTTGCAAACTTGAACAAACAAGACACAGAAGGACAGATATCACCATACATTTTTCTGCTTTCTTCTCATGACCAACATCACCTCGCCTGAGTCTTGGCCACCTAGTTCTCATTCATGCCCCAATCTCAACCAAGCACTAGGTGCGTCCATTGACCGCTTTACTCTGGTCAGAGGAAATGGAGGCAAAGCGGAGTGTCATCCACATACTTAGGATACCGCAATCCATATCTCTACACTAACCGTCCCAATGGACCTAGATATACATTCAACAAGCGGGAACACAAGATAGAACCCTTCATGAGTGCTCTGGGGGAGGAAAAGAAGTTACCCACTATCAACCTTTCAGAATGCTCAGCAAGTAAGAGAGCCGCTCAAGATCCGCTTCTCCAACCCAAACGTAGCTTGCAGACAAGTCATCACCTCATTATCAACGGTATCAAAGGCATCTGATAGATCTAACATGAGCATGGATGCTTGAGCTCCTGATTATTATTCTAAATCTTCTACCAATGCCAGCACTGTAGCTTTTATTCTGTACCCTAACAGGGAAAGGTCAAGGGGAGCTGAAGTCTCTGAAGCATTCAAGCACATGCCTCACTTCTTTTGCCTATGAGAAATGGAGGGCACCAAATGTAATTGTGCACAGTATTACTAACTGGACTTCTCTCTCTAGAACAGCAGGATCGTTGTAGCCAGTGGTGTTGGAAATTACAAAGTATCTTTGGTTCCAGACAGAGTTGTTTCTCACATCCTCTTTCAGAAGCTGGTCTACATACTCCAGTTCATTATCCCACAACTTGAACTCCTACAATGGTGAGAAGAGAAAAACAAAATAAAACCCCCCGCATTTAAACGTTTTAACAAATTCTAGTTACTTCCTTCTTCCTTTGAAGAATTCCAACCTAACTTTTCACATAGTGATTAGACCTAGTTGAAGAAATCAATGTAGTAAATTGTGAAATTAGTAAATTTTGGGGAAAAACAGGAGGTATAATGGGAAGCGGTAGGCAACCCTCATTATATAGAGCAGGGGTTCTCAGGACAAATTTTTTTGTGGCCTCGGAGGGCGGCCATGAACTCTTGCTGGTGGCTGCTCTCACATTTTTTCCTAAAATACTTAGTTAGCTTTAGGAAAAACAAATAAATATGCACATATACACGTCCAAATCAGTGTAATATATTTATTGCTAGATACTAAGTCTTTTGTGAAAAGTGATATTAGACATAAAAGTATCACTTTTCACAAAAGACTATCAGCCCTGGCAAGCCTGGGGACAAATTAAGCTCTGGATGAGGGGGTCAGGATAGGCAGTAGGGGCCAGGGGCAATAGATTTGGGGGCAGTCCGGGGGGAGACAATGGGGGGCCAGAGCCTAAAGCCCCGTAGCCAGAGCCCAAAGCCTCGTGGCCAGGAGACGGGGATGGAGTCTGAAGCTGTGTGACGGCAGCCTGCTGCCCCACCACCCCAGGGAAGCTGGGAAACTCACTGGCTGCCTGCTCCTCCAGCTTTATGCCCTAACTCTGTCCAGGGAGGGGCAGGGCCCCATCCCTGCTTGCAGCCCCAGCAGACAACACCAAGGCGATGCATCCAGGAGCAACATGTAGTGGGAGGGGCCGCTGCTTTGCCCCTCCTCCCCCCAATCACAGCCCAGGAGGCTGTGGCCACAAGAAAAGCAGCTAGTGGCAGCATTTGAGAAACGCGGATATAGAGGGTGCTACTAGTGCAGGGGTCGGCAACCTTTCAGAAGTGGTGTGCCGAGTCTTCATCTATACACTCTAATTTAAGGCTTCGCGTGCCGGTAATACATTTTAACGTTTTTTAGAAGGTCTCTCTATAAGTCTATAATATATAACCAAACTACTGTTAGGGTTAGGGTCAGGCCGGAAAGCAGGCTGAGCAAGGCTGGAGATCCAGACCCCGGCTGGCAGGAGGTCAGCGGCTGGAACCCCAGATCAGCAGCTGAGGCGAGTGGAGCGGGTGGCTGGTAGGGCCGAGCAGGGCCGGAGGCCTGGACCCTGTCTGGCAGGGGGCCCGCGCTGGAACTCCAACGGGAAGCAAGGTGAGTGGGGCTGCGGAGGTGGGGACCCCGGCTGGCAAGGGGCCAGCAGCCGGAACCCCAGAGCAGCGACCGAGCAGCTCAGCCCACCGCTGCTCTGGGGTTTCCGCCGCCAGCTCCTGCCAGCCGAGGGTCTCAGCTCACTACCAGCCTGGGGTTCCTTCACCCAGGCCAGCAGTGGGCGTTGAGTGGGACCGGTGGCTGGACCCCCAGATCTGGGGTTTCGGCCGCTTGCTCCTGCCAGCCAGGGTCTGAGCCCGCTGCCAGCCACGGGTGCTGAGTGGGACTGGCGGGAACCCCAGAGCGGCGGAGGGCCGAGCAGCTCAGCGGTTTCGGCCGCCGGCTCCTGCCAGCCGGGGGTCGCAGCTCGCTGCCAGCCTGGGGTTCCTTCCCCCAGGCCAGCAGTGGGTGCTGAGTGGGACCAGCGGGGTTTCGGCTGCCGGCTCCTGCCAGCTGGGGGTCTCAGCCCGCTGCCAGCCTGGGGTTCCTTCCCCCAGGCAAGCAGCAGGTGCTGAGTTGCACCGGCGGCAGGACCCCTGCTGGCAGGAGCCGGCAGTGGGAACCCCAGAGTGGTGGCGGGCTGAGCGGCTCAGCCGGCGCCGCGTGCCATCAAAAAATTGGCTCGCGTGCCACCTTTGGCACGTGTGCCGTAGGTGGCCGACCCCTGTACTAGTGCTTCCTGTAACAAAAGGCACAAAGGCAAGTACCCAGCAGCAAATTTTTGAACTGGTTAGCTGAAAGGTTAGTTTACAGCTGAATTCTGAGTTGACACCCACGTAATTGTTTTCACTCCATCTACACAAGTCAGCGTGTAAAGTTCAATTTAAGAAACAAACCTCTACAATTTTGGGAGGATTCTCCCTCCAGAGAAAGCAGCAGACCTGGATACAATACCTGAATAACCCACTGTCTGTGCTGCCAAGCATGGTAATTCTTGGCATCCTGGTTAAGAATTTCAGCTATAAACTCAAGCTCTTGAGATGGATCCTTCAGCCACTCTACCAACACCCGTCTGTGGTGCCTAAAGACAAAGTACAAGAATTTAAAAAGCTTCCCTTCCAATATTTGCTTGAACTTTAGACTTTATTAAAATACTTACCAGAACAAACAAAAACCCACCAAAAAAATACCAAGACACCACCCCATCACCAGAGTAGTACTTTTTAAAAGAACCATGAAACATTTCACCTAGCTTTTCTAGAGACTGCTATAGTGTAAACTTGCAACAAGAAAATGCCAGAAATGTATCTACATATTGGTATACAACCTCTTAAAGAAGGATAATTGCTATGTTTGACATGCTTGAGAAGTGGGTGAGAAAAGCCATGCAGAAGGAGGGTATAATAATTTAAATAGAACTGAGTTTGAGTACACAAGATGGGTCGTACTTGAGATAGTATCACACTTAGAAACTTGCCATATTGCCAAGAAGTGACCTTCACGGCTAGACCCATCGTTCTAATAGAACCGCCCCCCCCCCCCAACCCATTCATTGTTTCCCTATGAACACTGCAAAGTTCTCTCGATCACTTATTTTTTTAAAAATATTTTCCCCGTCTGTTTTACATTGTCATTTGTCACTGAATTTAGAATGCCTTCCTAAGCTTTCAGATTCAACATGTTCCAGTACACATGAAAACCTGCCCATAGTCTACCTCTAAAGGAAGTGTTGTAAACATTTTACTAATGCCTTATTTGGCTCACCACTTCATTTCTGGGAAACCAGAGCAAGGACACGAGTACTAGTTTCAAACCAAAGTTTCTCAAATGATGTCAGAAAGCAGAGCCAGTCTTAACATTAGCAAGGATCACCCTAGCATGAATTATCCAATTCAATTCTTTGGCCTCTGTCAAGCAGTGAACAACATTTCAGAGACGCCTATTACTCCGTTGCTCTAATATGGTTTTTCCTTTTCTTGGGAGCCAGCATTTAGATTTCAGAGGCCTCTTCATGGCAACATTTAACTACCCTTTGGGTCAGGGTTGGCAGAGGTGACACCCAATTAGTTTCTTGCTGCTTGCTCAGGCATTCATATTGGTGGGCAGTCTCCAGCTAAAGATGAGAGCACAAAAGCTTGCAAATGTTCTGCTTGCTCCTGCAACATGTCCTCCTCTGTATCTGGGGACAGAGGTGCCAGTGAGACCCTAATTTATCCAATCCTCATCAGCTGTCAGTTTCAGAGGCTAAAACGAATAGGCAGATGGACTTCCTCCATAACAAATATGCTATTCGAGCAGCATACAAGCTTCTCCTTCCCACACTACTCAAATGGAGGGAAGCAGAAGGTACAGAGTACCAGAAAATCTCAGGAAAAGAGTGGGCAAATAAAATGACCAAGGGTTTCAACTCCTGTCTCCAAGGGACTGGTTAGTTGTCTTCCTTCATACATCTCTCCAGCTAGTCTTGGCTTTTTCTCCGTTCAGCACAGACACTTGCACCCAAAGTCTTCCTGGACAGAGGAGCAGGATTCACTAATTACCTTTGCTCTTTCTCAGAGGCCACTCCTCAGTCAGAGAAACATCTTCTACTCATACCAGACAACTCCTTGACCACAGCACATGTGAAAAGGGAGGCGCCAGAAACATGACACGTTTCCTTTTCAGTAGGCTCAGCTGCAACTTCTTTTACTCACTCAAGGAGTGAGATACTTTCACATCAAAGTATCACTAAACCTGGACAACCTTACTAGGTGGTGTAGGATCTCAAACATGTTCTCATATGTTAGTAGTCCTATGGGGAGTCCCAAAGTTTGATTCATTTGCATCAAAGCTCAATGCAAAGACTCATGGTTGATTTTCCAAGACTCAAGCACAAAAAACTAAGAGCAGTGGGTTCCTTGTCCTAACACTGCCCCAGGCACCTCACCTGTATTTTCCCTCTTCTTTCCTTTGTGGCTAAGGCTCACCACAAAGTCTCTCTCTTTGGACAGCTCTACACTACAGCCTAAGTTGATATAACTTACATTGCTCAAGGGGGTGAATATATAGCGCTGCAGCGTAGACTTGCCTTCAATCTAAATAGCCCTAAGCTGGTCCGGATACAGATGTCCAGGAAGCACTCTACCAGGGGTTGGCAACCTTTCAGAAGTGGTGTGCCGAGTCTTCATCTATTCACTCTAATTTAAGGTTTCGTGTGCCAGTAATACATTTTAACCTTTTTAGAAGGTCTCTTTCTATAAGTCTATAATATATTAGCTAAACTATTGTTGTATGTAAAGTAAATAAGGTTTCAAAATGTTTAAGAAGCTTCATTTAAAATTAAATTAAAATGCAGAGCCCCCTGGACTGGTGGCCAGGACCCAGGCAGTGTGAGTGCCACTGAAAATCAGCTCGCGTGCCGCCTTCGGCACTCGTGTCATAGGTTGCCTACCCATGCACTCTACCATGCCACAAAGTCCTAGGATCTGGGGAAGATCTGCACAATGCTACACTGAAAATTTGGTCACCCTGCATAAAACTGGAATACATCACAGATACGCCCTATGAATAAAATCAAGGCTATAGGTCTGGCTCAGCCCTTAGACATTCATCCTACAGCAATAAGACATGTCCTCAATTCCCTGAACCCAACAGGCCTCACTCATCTTCATATCAATATTTCTCAGAGCAGTTGGCCAGTCCACCCAAATGTATGAAATACCCAACAAGAAAACTCAGTTTGGTCTTTCGTGAGCTAAAGAGTGATCCCTTCAGGCCTGTGGATTCCTTGCATTTCCCCCCGCACCCTCTATTAAAGTAGCCATTTTTATGTATTTCATTTGGGAGGATTTTTACAACAAAAAAGCAACACCCAAGAGCTGCTGAAAGCTAAAATTTTTCATTTGTAATTGCTTCATTTTTGTTGTGTCAGAATAAGTTTGGTAGTTTTAAAGCTTTTCACATGCCTACCTACATTACTTAGTACTCATAGCATTGGAGTGGAGAGTTATGGAGACCTCTGCCTGGGGGCAGTCCTGTTTAACCCCTCTGAAATGGGCTCCATCCAAGGAGGAAGGGAGAACCCTCACCTCCACACTTTTAGAACTGGCAGCCATGTCCATTTCTGAGATGGTCAAAGGTAAGACAGTGTCTCTAGAAATCAAAAAGATTTTACCAGACTTGGTAATTCTTTGGCTGATCTTCAATGATAGCTGTAATATAGTTAATTTCCTCATTAAGGTCCTTTTTCAATGAATGCAGGAGGACTCTCCGGAAATGCCTAAAGAAAAATAAAACACACACACCATTTAGGAGGTGTTTTTTTTTTTAAAAGCTGGAGTAAATTCAGTTAAAAGTACTTTAAGAATTAAAGCAATTTTTAAGAACACAACTAATTCTGAAGATGTATTCATTATTGGGTAGCTGGTAGTAACCAAAATAGGTAAGGTTACAAACATATTGATATCCAAGATCTTGTCAACTTTAAGTTTCTACTGAAGACTTGTCTACCCCACACCTGTTCCAATGTCACTGAACATCGTCTACCTGATATGAAAATAACTGGTATAAATCAATGCAATCATATTAGTAGGAAAAATACACAGGGAAGTATTTGACATATTAGGAAAAACTTTTTCACTAGGAGGGTGGTGAAGCACTGGAATGGGTTACCTAGGGAGGTGGTGGAATCTCCTTCCTTACAGGTTTTTAAGGTCAGGCTTGACAAAGCCCTGGCTGGGATGATTTAGTTGGGAATTGGCCCTGCTTTGAGCAGGGGGTTGGACTAGATGACCTCCTCAGGTCCCTTCCAACCCTGATATTCTACGATTCTATGACAGTACCTATTGGTTGAGAAATCTAGTTCTGTGAATTCAGAAGGCCTTACAAGTTTAGTATTTACTTGAAAATTAAACTGGCAGGTATTACAAAGGGGATTATAGAATTACTTCAGTAATATTTACTACAAAAAAAAACTAGCAGCTAATATATTTAGATATTATAAGAACTTCCTTTGAAACAAGCAGGAAATGGTTCCAATCTTTTCACTAGGAATGTGTGTCATCAGAGAGACACTTTCAATATGATTTGTCATGTCACCTTAATCAGTGGTGGTTTCTAATAGCTAGTCCTAATCTTGTTTGAAAGTTTAGACTATCAGATAGCATTTCCCAGAAATTAGCGATACTGCATCAAAATCTTACTTTAAGAGCTCGCTGCAGCTTCCAATAATCCTCAGCCTCCCAGAAAGCAAGCAAGGCCAGTCATATTTTGAATAATACACGGTCAGGATAGTTGAAAGAGAAATCAGGTAATCTAATCAGATAATTGTCATGACTATTACTTACCACACAGTGTAATTTGCAGCATTCAGTTCAATGGCATCCCCGGTTAGCTGAAAAGCTCTTTCACTTCTTTCATCCCGCTGCAGAACAGCCCGAAAGTAATCATAGACATCTCTGACTGGATAGAGGAGAGCATATTACCCAAAACAACTAGAAGAAATCCTGAATAGAGGATTTAAGACTGGCAACCCATTGATGCTACTTTGTGTGTGTCAAATACTATTCCCTAAAGGTGTTTGGTCCTAACAGTCTGCATACTGATACAATAGCACAATTCACTAGAACCATTCTGGTGGGATGCTTTACAGCGCTCAGACTAGAAACCTCCTAAAACATCTTTCAACAGATCATCTAGATAATGTCCAAAATAGTCATGAGGGCACTATGAGTCATGAGGGCACTATGAGTCATGCTATTTCTCTACATTCCTGAGATCCATTATTGCATTTTCCTCTAGGCCTAGCCGCACCATCCTAATTGCTTGCATTACCTGGAACGTGGCTGCCTACCAAGTAGTTTTAATACTCGCTTTATTCTTTTTAAACTTAATTCTGTAATTTTTAAAAGATCATTTCTGAAAATTTGAAAAGAAACAGGAGGGTTTTGTTTTTGTTTTTAAAAGTGTGGGCACTCCAGGATGTGAAGGTTGTAAAGCAGGCAAACATTATCTTTGGAGCTTTGAGAAACTCAAGATTCTCCAGTCTCTAGAAAAATGCAAGTTTATGGAAATGTTCCTTTAAAAACAGGGACAGTATTAAGGCCATTTCCATACTTCAGTTTTTTTAGTTTCAACAATACCCAGTAATTATGACAAAGTGAAATACCTAAGCTTTGTTCTAGGCTCAAGTTGGTTTACAACAAATAAATTCTCAAAAAATAAATGTGTATGGTAATTTTATCTGGTGTATTTACCATTTTAATATTAAATTCCCAACATTTAAAATTCACTTCTAGATGACTACAGGAACCGTAAAGACAACTCATGTTTTTATAGTTACTAGCAGTGACATCCAGCACAAAAACGTATATTATTGAAAACTAAAGTCTAGCTTCAGTGGTGCCACTGACATATTACACAGATGTTTTCACCTTACCAAGGTTTAATTATACTTAACATCTTAAAAAAAAAAAAAAAAAAAAAAAAAACCCTTACATTTTTCACTATAGATGATCTGAACCACAGGATTTGGCCCATCATTTTGAGGTACTGGTTCGATGTCAGCCCATTCTTTTCTGTGCCTGTAAATTTACATTTTCTTTTCAATGTTTTATTAGAAAAAACTACCGAAGCCACCCCCAAAAAACACATGTATTTCAGTTGCACCATTCTACATGGTGGTCATTATCTTTGCCATAGAATTGCATGATACAAACATAAGCGATACGGTAAAAGTCATATTAGCTGGTCATGTAGCCTAGAGAGCAACTATGTTCCTTGATCTTGGAGAAGCAAGGTGGGTGAGGGAATATATTTTATTGACCAACTTCTGTTGGTGAGAGAGTGAAACTTGGAGCTTATACAGAGCTCTTCTTCGGGTCCATTGACCTTGCTCATCTCTGTCATTAGTTTCGACCACAAATTGCACAAACTCAAATGCTGTACTCTCAACACAGCTCAATGTTTGGACTAATGAGGGTTACTTTACGAGCCACCCCAGAACCCCAAATCATTGGCAGGTACGTTTGCAAACGTATCTGGTGGCATGTAATAAGGTCCCAGTTGGGAAGCGCTCTGTTGCTCCCACCCCCCCTTACTGTGTCTTTCCTTTCCGATAGGGTCTCCCCCCGCGCTGGGCCGCCCCCATTTTGAACGATGTCTCCACTGACACCCAGCAATGAGACACGGGCACACCAGCCCAACCCAGTGGCCTAGGAGGTGTGAGCACCTTGCCCCGCCCCCCCCCCCCCACACCTCCTCCCACCCCACCCCCTCACTGCCCCCCTCCCCTACACCTCCTCGCTCCCCGCCCCCTCACTGCCCCCCTCCCCTACACCTCCTCGCTCCCCGCCCCCTCAC